TTTTGTCTATGTTTCCATTGCTTGGAAACGGAGTAGCTCGCAGCGAGCGTAGGAGGCTTACGCCAAAGCTGTTTGCCAAGACTTGTTAAACTATTGAATATGAGTGGGCAGCCCTAGGGCACGCCAAAGCGTGTCCGCAGCGGACTTGAGTAGGCAGCCTTCGGGCACGCCAAGAGGTGGCCGCAGCGGCCAAAGCTCTTTCAAGACCCAGTGGGGTCTGTCGCCACCTTAGGTGCACATACAGCGTGTGCAGTGTAAACGAGGCCAGATCTATGTAGGTTTTCTCAATGAGGTTTCGTTTCGTTGGTTCTCGGCCATTCCATTTGGTTCCCCCTTTCATCTTGTTTCCCCTTTACACACTTCTGTTCTTTCTCTTTCTTTGCATGTCTTTCTGTCTGGCATTTCATTCCTTCTTTCTCTTGCGCGCACATCTGTCCGGCCCTTAGTGCATCTGCGCACTTGCACTTAAACCAGTTTTGAGGTCGCCCAGGGTTTTACAAGGAGGTTGGGTTCATCGTTTGTGCCAGGTCACTTTGGTTTCCTTTTCATTGCAGCCACATACACCCGGTCTTTCTTGTCCTCCTTTCATTTCATCATTTTTGTGTCTGTTTTGCGCACATTCGTCGTCGGCTTAGTTCTTTTCGCCTCCCTCAGGAGGCGTGTGTGTGTGTGAACCCCTTAGAGTCACAGGGATCCTTTGAATTTGTTCTCGAAGTTTCCTTTAGCAGTCCTTGTCGCTCGGTCGCAGGCACTCCGCTCCATTTTTCTTCAGGTTTTTTTGTGCTTGTACTCTTCTGGGAATATGGTCACTTAGGTTGCCGTGTGGCGAGTGGCATTCAGTTCAGCACGCATTTCTTAAGTGTGTGCGTGTGTGTGTGGAGTGGGGAAAGTGCGTATAACTGTCATCAAAATTCATCAGGTCGAAGTTGCCAAACTGTACAACCGTCGTCCAAATTGACGGTGGAAGTTGCCAAAAACGCGCAACTTCTTGCGAAATTAACGGTTGAAGTTGTCAAAGTGTGTATAAATGTTGTGGCTTGTGGAATTCAGTGGCTTTACCAACACACCAATGCCAAACACATAGGAAATGAAACCATTTTGCGCCAAAAACAGAAAACATTGCAGGTTCCATCAGGGTCCTACCCAACAGTAACATTTCAGAAAAACGAATCGAAACAAATTCAACAGTTCAAGTTTCAAATGTTGGTCTATGCATCGTGTTCATTTGTTTCCGCTTTACCACTTGCCAACTAGGAAATCACATTTTTTCTTTTTCATCGCAAGACCAAATTTCGGAACTCTAATGTGATTAATCCAATGCAGGTATGGAAGACGTCGAGTCCAATAATATCCAATAGTAATATTGTTTAAAGACGTCGAGTCCAGAAATATCCAATAAGTATTTGGTTGACCATTGGTTGCTGAAACGTGGAAACTCGTGACGATGTATTTCCTGTGCTATACCCTCACGTCGCACTGTTTGTGTACAGCATCAGAGCAAGTTGCCATAGTCTACATGTTAGTTTCGCGGTGTGAAGATTTCAGAAGTAACTGATTTGTCATCCGTGTCACAACCCATGTGTGCAAACGCGAGGGCTGGCTAGCATCAATATTTATTGGTTGAGTTGCTTCCCATGTTTCCGACATCTCTTCATTTCCAGTATCAGGTTCGTGTTGTTGCTCCAAGCAGTTTGCTGTGAAAAAGGTTTTTTGGTGCGTGTAAAGGCCTCGTAGATGGTGTTTGGTGGATGGTGTTTTTTGGGGGTTCTATCACGACCGGCGATTCTTTCTTTCGCCGGGAGTCTGTGGCTGGTGCTTTTCTGCTGGAAATGGCGTGCAGAACACGAGGCCGCCCTGAGTGCGCTCCAAGAGCTCTTCGTGTGCTTCCACATTCTCATGATAGTGGCTCTCTTCTTTGCCGTTTCGGGCATTCGAGGGACTCTGGCCCTGCCAGGCGAGGTTTGGTGGGTTCTTTAGTGTTCTTTCATTGATGTCCACAACAGGTCTTGTTTTCTTTTGGTGTTGATTTGATGTTGATCAAACATACGAACCATGTCATTTTCCCTTGACATTTATTGTCGTTCTTATATAAACATAAACAAACACCTGATGTCATATTCCCATGCACATTATGTTGTTGTTGGGAGGCGGCAAATGCATTCTACAGTATCTTGGCACAATTGAGTTTGCTATCAGGGAAGGTGAGCGCATTTGCGAATAATAAGCATACAAGACAGACATATAGAAGATGGGGCAATGATAACAGTATTGCTCGCTTTGACAAGTGTTCTTTCCCCTATGTTCTCCTTTTGACCATCAACTGCAGTCAGACAGAATACACTAACATACAGTAAGTTGACTATGACGAGCGACTATTGACACCCAAGAAGAGCTGAAATCCAAATTACAAGACATCTCAAATGTAATGCTGGGCCAAATTACATTATTGGTTGGACTGTCAAAGTACTGGAATGTATTGCTGGCCATTCCAGTTACATGGAATGTATTGCCAATATCCATTGGTTTCCCCCAAAGTTGCAAGACCAAGGTACTTCCTGGTCAGGCGTTCACGGGAGCGCCTCCGAGCGTCCTCCTCACTTTCCGAGAGCGACACGGAGTGATTCACGACACCGCCGAACCCGACTTTAAGCAGCAACGGGTTCGGAGTACAGATCGATGTGTCCGGAGGCTGGGCTCTGGTCGGGTGACCTGAAGGGTCCGAAGCCAGACCTGTTCGGTTCAGCATCAAAAGGCCGAGATGGAACCGGTACCGCAACCAGGTTGGATCGTTGCTTCTCCAGACGTTTCGAAAGATTATGTACCTGAGATGTTGGAAGTTTGCAACGCGAAAGCGAAAACCCTGGGGGATCCTGAGGTGAATCAGCCTCGGTTCCCAGCCGAGATCGCTCGCGCACCACGTGGGGTGGGTCCGGTTCCGAAAGCGCACCGCATTGCCGGCATGCTGCCCTTGCGAGGGTCGCCTGCTCGGTTTTGAGGATCCTGAGCCTTCGGTGCGAAGTGTAGAGAAACGAGTGCGACAGGTGCATTCCATCAGTGCACCAGCCAGTTGTACAGGGATCCTTTGGAAGGGACAAGTTTTGACTGGTCCTTGGTTGGTGTTTCTCGAGGACAGGACTCCTGCTTGAGGTGACAGGTGTGCAAGCGAGCGAGGCGTAAACATGTAGAAGACGCATGCAAAAAAGCATCCTATGCAAGTTTGAGTCTACATGCATCCCCCAATCTAAAACAGATCATTCGAATGGGTGGAGTTCTGTGGCAAGACTCACCTCTCACTGTACAGAGCTCTTTGTGGGGTCCAGGGGCCATTCATTCATTGCGTCGCGCCCGCGTCGCATGTTTGCATCAACAAGGGTCAGCAGGTGTATAGACGACTGCGGCCCGAGGGATTTTGTAGCCAACAGAGTTTGCTCATGTTAGCAAATCAGTGGTATGCAGATCCATGTGATGCAGGGAGCAGATGACCTGCTTCATTGCAAATGTCGATTTGTTAAGTGACCAATGACAAATGCAAGAGGCGGCCGCGAAAATGGTGAAGCAGGGCCCGGATTCTTAGGGGTGTATGAAAGTTGACGCGTCACCACTCATTCTCACCACCTAGGGGGCCTGACCCAGGTCAGAGCAAGCTGAGTAGCTTAAGCTGCTCGAATTCCGTGAGTGATGCATCACTGCAGTCAGACCGAACATACCCCGTCTGACGGGCATCCTTTCTTCACGGGTGTGACCACGGTTCATGTTGAGATGTGTAGAGTCTTTGCTCTGAGCAGCACACAGAGCTGGTCGGAAATTTCTTGTTGAGGCCTGTTTTGGCGCACGTGGCCTGAGATGGTTGGTTAGTTGTTTGTTTACACACCCGAACAGCAATTGTATAGAACATGGGTGTCCCCCATGTTTCTTTGACACGCTTGGTGGGAACAACAAAGGGGCCCAGGCTGGCTGGTGCCAGGCCAACGGAAGGGTTGGAGCTCTTTTGCTTCAAACAGCCCTGAAACGTGGGGCTTTTGACATCGCATGCGAGACAAGAGGGTCTTAGACCCTCCACAGCGTTGAAGGTGATGGACCCTCTTTGGTACCCTATGGACCCTTAGAGAAAACACCGACACTGGCTTGTAGACAATGTTCTGAAGATACCATCCAGCACAATGAGTCAGCACTAGATCGAACTGATGGAACTTTACATGCCAATTTTTGTATAACATGAGACTCAAGACAGAGCCAGTTCTTCCGCCTGAAGTGGCTGGATGTTCGCGACCGGATGGCGCAAGCCGGCGTCCCGTCCGAACGTCCTCCGCCTCCGCTGCATCGCACGCGGCGGAGACGAACCACCAGCGATGCGGTGGCCATGCATGAGTCGGTCACCTGGCTGGTATGGAGTCAAGCAGAGGCCTTTTGGTTTGAGTTGCTTTGAGCGTGTTTTTGAGTGCTTATGATCTATCAAGTTTTGGAAAGGAACCGTTGAGGCTTGGGTCTTTGACCAGAGGAGATTGGACATTTGCCCACATTCATGATCCACATGTATCACCATTGTTAGCCACTGTGTAGCTCATCGACTAAATCTCAACATTCCCCCATGCCCCTTGGTGTTTGGGTCAGAAGCCAGCCTGTTCCCTGTGACGCACTGGGCCGAAGCGTCGACGTTCTCAGCTAGGTGAGCCCGGAGCGATGGTGCGTGAACAAGGCCGATCTGAAGCCTCTCGGCCCTGGTGGGGAACACTTGAATCAAGGAACGGTTTTCCAGTGAACGACTGTGAAACCATTGGGCCGACGGGACCCCAACACTTGCAAAACAACCCTGCAGTTGGCACAAAGAAGGGACGACACCTAACTTAAGTGCTGTTGTCTATCTGTGTTTTCCAAAAGCATCTCCGATACTTGGGTTCTCGTTTAGTCAACAGGTGGGGGGGCAGAGCGATACGAGGCAAACATTTTGGTGGACGGAAGATGGAGTGTGATACCGAAGGGTGAACGGACGGGGAAGAAAGATGTCCGACATGATGTCCTCGCTGGAAGGAAGAGTGTCTCCTGCAGAGGGTTTCAAAGCGCTCAGAGAGTCTCATCCGTTCGGCTTTGCCAAGGCATTTGCAGCAGCAGTTGATCCTCGCCATCCAAGATGGCCGTCTTCAATCCTTGCTCTCTGCGAATAGCGACAGTGAAGATAGCGAGGAAAGCATCGATGACGATCACTTTGGGCCAAGTACCCAGTCCATGCATTTCGCAACACTTCTTCGTACATTGTCTTTCTTTCCACTTGCAGGACAGTGTGTAGCCCAGAGTATATATAGAAACTGACCAGCCAATTATTCATAATTGTTTCGAGTAAAGGGCCATAGCACGCCATAGTGGCTAGCAAGTTCTTCCAGAATGGAAACGTCTCCAAATATCACATATATACCTAGAACCTCTTCTTGGGCAGAGATGTTTGCCTACTATGGTAAAGGCGCCTGTGTCGGTGCTTAGGGGTTCTTGGCCCCTCTTGTTCTTCTCCTTTTTGGCGGCAATGGCAAGATCCACCCACCCTTGGTTCCAGGAACCATATAGATACAGTAAAGTAGTATAGTACACTTACTAATCAGGAATTAACTCACTTGATGTGTCACTTCTGCATGCGTTTAGTGTTTCATAGTGTTTCTATGACCTCGCAGGCGTGTTTTTTTTTGCGTAGGTACCGTTTTTCGGGGCTTTCATAGGGTGATTTGGGTGGACAGAGGAATGGTAGCCTTTTGGAGGGGAGCAAGTGACATGAGCTTTAGACCGGGAACTAGCGTCAAGTTGCTTTCTCATGCGCGTAAGAATGCATGTGACTGTGCCAACCGGCGTTTTGGGACCCTCGAGGCTGCAGCTTAGGCGTTCTTTGTGAACACGGGCAGATGTGTTTTACCGAAGTTGGGCGGACATTCTCGCCTAATGAGGTTCTATAGTAATAGGTATAGGTATACTAACCATTTCAGGTGCCTTTGGGGTAGTCCGAGCCATTTCGATCCCAAGACCGAAGAAGAACACAGATAAGACCTCTCAGGCATCTACGCTGTGAACGAGCAGTACATCAAGCCAGTGACCGCGGAAGCTGGGAAGATGAGTTGGGCCTTGATGCGAAATCCAAAGGGCTTGGACTGCCACGTCTTTGTCAGTCATGCCTGGCAGGACGCGAGGGGCGCCGCGAGGGGCGGGGTTCGCGCGACGCGGGCGTTGGGAGGTCCAGAGGTGGGACTTAATGTTGTAGTGCCAGGAAGGAAAGCATGGTATTGCGTGCCCCTATGGTAGATGCTCAACATGAAAGGTGTGCAATGAGGTGCGAAATGAGGGTTATATAACAAGCATATATGCGTTTGTGTGTCTATACTTAATATTCATCATACCTCCAGTTTTCTCTCCAGTCACTCTACATTTCAGCTATTATTTCGGTATCAGTGTCCAAACTTCAGGTCCTCTCCTTTCAGGTTATGGTGTTTGGACCAACCACGAAGTATCACGAAGTTCTGGTTCGATGTCTGTTTGTTTTCTCCACCGAAGAGCCGGGTTTTCGACCGCAGGAAGGCATCTTCGAGTTTCTCTCCAAAGTTCTTGCCTCGTGGCCCTCAGGCGTGGTGGTGGAGAAGACGAGAGGTGTCTAATAAGGAAGGTCGACCAGCGGCTGGATGGAGGAGAGTGTATTCGTAGGTCGAGAGTGTGTTGCAAGGTTTTGCAGCATGTTGCAGGATCGTGTATGCATGGGTCTGCGACGGGCTTGCGAGGACGCTCCAAGGTTTTGAGGGATTTCTTTACACCTCAAGGCCCAATCAGCTGACTCAGCAGTGCTCCAAACGTGTCACGTGTCCCTTCTTCATCAACGGCCCGTGTTCGGGGCTCTGTGAGGTGCTCGGAATGCTTGGTGTTGCATGCTGGCAAACCCTCAGCACCTCAACATCGGCTGCATGCTCCAATCACCCAAGTCCTCGCCGTTTGCCTTGGCGCTGCAAGCCTCCCGGGATGTCTTGGTGGTGCCCAACCGACACCGTGCTTTGGGTGTTGTGGGGAGGATTGGGGTATTTCCGCTCTTCGATCTCTTTGAGGGCTGATGTCAATTGCAGTTGCCTCATTCTTTGCCTGAAAAACATCACACTTCGCCTGGAGAATGCACCGTCTTGTGTCCTCCAGCATTCTTCCAGCATATAAATGATATATCTGATCATTATGTAAGAGCATCAAGCGATAACAGAAGCCTACATCATGTACTTGCAAGGAATGCCTTCCACCTGTTTAGTCCTTTCACTCATGTTTCACCCCCGTTTCGTCTCACCTCCCCCACCGAGGCAGTGTTTACTGCCGGCTTTGGTGCGGCTACGAGGCCTTCGTGGCCTCGGAAGACCGCAAGGTCATCCAAGTCGCTGCCCGTCCGGCGTGGCGCGACAGGCGGGGGGGACACGGCCAAGCATACGTGGGGGTTCGGATGGTAAACCGGTTTGGCATGTGAAGGTGGATGTCCACAAATATGTGCACCAAATGAATGTTCCTGCAAAACAGAGGTCTTGCATGGGAATGGTGTTGATGTTGTGAAAGCAAGAGGTCGGGCCACTCCAAGTCAACCGCTTTCACGCCTTACATGTAAACAAATAGATCAGATCGGAAAGGGGGTGCAATCACATCCTTCAGTACCGGAAGGCGGGACAGGCATTTGGTGGGAAGTTCTCAAAGTAGACGTAACACGTCTTGATACCCATCAGCTACAAGATTTGCCGATGGGCCATCCTTCCCACACGTTCTGAGCGCTCAAACTGTCAGAGCCACTGCACATAGAACCGTCCTACCCTTGTTACTAGTAGCTTCTATCTATATACTAGTAGTATTGCCCTTGCTACCAGTAGCGATATCAGTAGCTCCGAAAAGATTTGTTCAGCGTGACCAACCCTTCAGCGAAGGGTCAACAGACCCCCCCAGCAGGCGCTGGACTTTGCTTCGGGCCAGCAGCGCCATCGTGCTGGGCGTTTTCATGAGCCGCTTGAATGGTCGGAGGAGTTTTAGTTCTCAGTCGTTTCCTCGGCGAAGGCCAAATTTACTCAAGAGAGGCGGAAGTGGTTTGAGTACCTTCAACATTACACAAAATTTAAATGTGCACAGAAGTTCTTTGTTTTCGTGTTTGCACAGACCAGATTTGCTATAATTAGAGATGAGCAGATCATGGATCAGTGGTCATGCAAGGCAGCCCTAACACTAAACCTGGAACCGCGTTCAGGGACGGGGCCCGGACACCTTGTGAGGGCCTCCAAGGGGTTGAACAGATGCTCGACATGGACATGGCATGTAGACCTCTCGAAAACCCATGACCCCCAGGAAGATTGCTTTCCTCTACCAACCAGTATTTTTCAGGTATGAAATTTCACAACCCCTGTCGAGTTCAAAAAATAGAATTATATTTTCTTGAGAGTGCGAGGAAGTGTTAACCACTTGCTGCTGAATCCGTCAATCAGACATATTGAGGCCATGTTCCTTCATGACATTGTTTACTCAATGACGCGGGGCACAAGCAAATAACACAAATGGAAATGTGAAAAAGTGTCAGGAAAGGAAATAGTTTAGGAATTGGTGAAACGTTTGCCGAATTGACTTTTGTTGCAAAAAGTCACTCAATCCAATCTCCTGTTTGTCCACCTGCCCTGACAAGTATTGCGAGACCACGTGGGGCGCGTTGTGTACTCATATTTTGCAGCAAAACCAAACCACGCTGCTTTGCAGCATTCCCTGCTAGAATTGCCCAGGGAGAAGAGTTGACGGCAATGGTCGCAGGAATTTACAAATGGAACGCATTCCTTTTTGTTTGTCAAGACGACAAGCAAACAGTACTTTTATATCTGTTCGAAACATATACAGCAAAAAGAGGAAGCAAAACTCCAAAGAATCAATATTATGTATTTCAAAATATTTTTCACATATAACAAAAAATAGAACTTAAAAAAACTTGCCCCCCGCAGGCGAATACATTTTCAATTCTTAAGTCTTAAGTTCCTTCAAAATAAGAATCTTCAGGATTTGCCCGTCCCAGGTGTTCTCACACCTTGCCTGCCACAGGCGCATAATTTTTTTATAACAAGTGTTACGTTCCTAAATATGTGGACTTAAGGATTTGCCCGCCGCAGGCACATTTTTTTACAAAGAGGTCCCAAGTTTAGAAACGCACAAACAAAGTTCTTATAACTTTTTTGGGTGGAGTTTCGATAGGACAAAACACCTTCAAAAATTAATGTGAGTAAAGTTCCACCAGCAAACTATAAGAAACAAATCTTATAACTGTTTGGTGGAACTGCACTCCCAGAAAAAAGGTTCTAAATATTCACAGCGCTTCGCGCTCGAAGCTGCCCGCACGGAGTGTGTGCGTCTGTCTGTTTCGGTGTGTCTGTCTCAGTCTGTCTGTCTCGGTCTGTCTGTCTCGGTCTGTCTGTCTCGGTCGGTCTGTCTCGGTCTGTTTGACTCGGATGAACACACGCACGATGTCAATAATGCACTTTCCCCCGGCCGGCGTAACTGGCATCGCGAACGTTTGTTCCGATGCCATCTCAATGTTTATCAATCTTCAAAAAACACTGCGAAACACAGCATTTCCACAGCTGAGACAAGCTTAGGATTTAATCTAGCAGACTTTTCGCGGCTTGCGCGAGCCTCCGCAACGCCTCGGCACCTTCGGCGCGGGCGGTGGAACTTTATTCCCAGAAGAATATAAGAAAACGATGTGTTTCTTGACAATCTTTTTGGTGGAACTTTACTCCCAGAACAAAATGATTTGCGTTGTTCATATATTCTTGGGTAGAACTTTACTCCCAGAAAAACTATAAGAAACACATTTGTTCTTGCAATTCTTCTGGGAGCCAAACTCCGCGAAAAAAGATATGGGAGCACAAAACTCCACACACAATCTAATTTTACACAAAGAATAATGCTTGAAACAAATATAATCCTTCAAACAAATTCAGAAATCAGACTCCATTCTTTTAGTGTGTAATCCTCCGGCCCATGCATCGCAGAAAAATATAAGAATGTTGTGTTGATAAGTGGTATAATTCTCTGCCTGCGGCGGACAAATCTTTCTCCTTATACCTAGGAACTTTTGAACTGTTGCAAAAAAATATCCGCCTGCGGCGGGCAAATTCTCAAGTTCCTAAATTTGTTTCTTTGTGTTTGTGGAGTTTTGCTCCGAGAAAATAGTATAAGAACACATGTGTTTCTGAAAAAACTTGTTTGTTATTGTGTGGGGGTTTGCTGCCAGGAAATATATAAGAGCACATGTTTTCTTATAGTTTTTGTTTTTTTGAGTTCTTGCAAGCGATTGAGTTGTTTCATTTCATATATGATACTGTAGATTAAACATGAAACTATACAGGCATGAACCACAGGCAAATTCTTGCTCTTATAGTGTAATAGTCTAATCACATATTTATAGTCTAATAGTCTTAGAGCTCTAACATTTATTTGTGGCTGAAAGATGTAAATGAGGAGTTTTGAGTAGGGGAGGGCCCAGTATGTGCAAAAAGAGGAAAGGCTGCTTTGCGCTGAGAATTTCACACCAGGTAGCCCCCAGCCCATTATATGTTTAAACATTAACGCTAGGTTGTGAAATTCACTATTTTCAGGGTCCATGTTGGTTTTCCAGGGTGTAGACCTCCATATCGCCATAGAATCCAATTGGAATCACCATAACATACCTCCGAAGTTCATCAGTCCGGTGTGGCGCTGGGACCCAGATCAGTCGCTCACTTGAGCCCTCAGATACTGAAGTGACCAATGAAGCACCGAACCTCGCAACTCCAATGGGGAATACTTAAAGGTATAAAATGATTAAACCATAAACTCTATTTGTACTGGTAGTAGAGTCATGAGGTCATGACCTGTGTGAAGGGCCCCAAAGTGAACACCCAACATGGAGGAAGACAAAACGTTGCAATGAAGAGTGATTCATATTCTATTATGTATATATGTGTACATCTAATTATATATCATAAAACAGCCCTAGGCAGATCAGGGGGTGTCCATATATATATATATATACATATTATAGATACATGATGATGATACATGACTTTGAGTCTTTGGGTTGAGGGCTCAATTGAATGGTTTGAGCCCTCGTTTGCACATTAAATCACATTAAGTTTTGAAGCTTAGATTTTGCCCAGCATTAGGTAGCGTTTGTCTTGCGAATCCAGCATCCGGCTGATCTCTTTTCCAACCATGCGTTGAATCAGACCGAACAAGGTCGAACACAACAATTATCATAGTTAAGATACCAACCAAATCCGGGGGTTCATTCTGAATGGGAAACGACTCCTTCCAAACACGAACAGTGACCATGTGGTGCGAACCATGAGGTGTTTGTTTCCCGCTTCATCAGTCGTCTTTGGGAATGATCCTTTTCATCCAGAGCTCGGATGATCCGCTGGACGATCTGCATCAATCCCAATGTCCTGGATGATCGAGTAAAGTACGTCATATGATCATCGCGTCTGATGTCCTGATGGTGTCATGGTATTGTTCAACGTCCCGTCTAATTGAAACAAATTATGTCGCACTTTGTGTTTCGTGCATTGACATCATGTGTTTAATGCGGTTTTCTTTTGTAAAACATGTTTCCATGGCCTTAGCTGTTTCAGCTCTTTTGTCTTGACTCTTATGTGACAATTTGAGTTGCTGGAAAGAGGAAGAGTAGATGAAGGCAAGATGTTTGATCACTTTTTGGTCAAGGGGATTCCTGTAACCGCCATATAGTCAACAAAAAAGTGTTATTGGTCTCACCACTCCTTCGGCATTCTTCACTTCTACCACACTCAGGTTGGCTCACCCATACTCAAGGCTGGGATCTGTTTCCTGAAGCCTTGATTGCTGCTTCCCTGGCCGCCTTTGTCAGCGTCTACACCAGCGGCCGGGTGCGGCAAGCGGCCAACTATTTGGGATTACTGGCCACCACCTGCTTGGAAGTACGTCACTGGGATGGCAAAGAAGATGCTTTGGATGTGTCAAAACAAAACATGTCTCTCTTCAAGGTTTGTGATGGTTCTGGACCAAGCAAAACCCTAGAATTTATGCAACAAAAATTAGCTTTTGATTGAGGTGTTGCCCAAATTGTCCGATGTTTCTTTTTTGGCGAGTTTGAATACAACCGTATTTGTGACAAATGGCCAGATCCAAGTCTACCAAGGGTTTGTCTAGCTCAAAATGGAGGCTTCGGTGAGCCTGGTTGTCTTAAGAACGCTCTGTCCCAATTTTCGGGGGTAGTACAAGCTAGCGCACCAGTGCGCCCCACAAGTGGATTTTTTCAGTGAATCCCCCAGAAAAACATGCACTTGGAAGCATGTATACCCATTTACTAAAGGAACAGAATGCCCTGCTTGAAAACGATACCACACGATCATCGTTTTCTCAGTTGTCCAAACTGATTCCGAACCAGCTGAAGCCACAGAGCTTCACACATGTTCTATATATTGTAGTTTTTAACATATGGGTTAGTAATATGTTGACATATTGGTTAATATATTCTATACTTGTTTGGGGGTTGCATTTGTTATTATTCCACATTCTGTCACCTCGCTGCTACCTTCATCATCGCGCGGGCGCTTTTTTCGCGCATCTCGGTAGGCTTCGCACCCATCGAGATGCGGTTCCGCGACCTTCCCCAAGGCGGGGGGAAAAGTCCCTGCCAAGATGGGGGGGAGAGGAGGTCCATACAATTGATCGTTGATAGTTCAATGAGTTGTTTCCAAAAGGTCGATAGAATTGGCAACCCCTTTGCTTTGCCAGGTCATCGCTAAAGGTCGCCCTTAAGGCAAAACCACTATTTGGCCCTGGCCACCTTTCGTGACGAAGCACATGCAGTTCAGACACTCAAAGAAGTGACCTGAAACCAGGACCAATTGCTGCAGCAATTCATAGGTTCGGTCGTGTCCCGGTGGTGTCCTCCATTTCGAGCCACGATTCATGATGAAGGCAACCTGAGATACCACATACCACCCCGAAGGCAACCTGCTGAAGCCACAATGGCGAAAACCCTGCCACAGGGGTCAACATTTTCAGGGACAGATTTCTGGGTTTCACTGCTCAAGAACCAAAAATATGTCCAACAACCACACAAATATAACGTTTTATGGAGTAGGCAGGTATCTGAACTATACCTCTGGGGCCCCTCGCGAATACAAAGAACACACCTAACTCGCCAGTGCTTGGTCGTGAACGATGAAGCTTCAAAGAAAAGAAGCAACAGAGATACTCCCCTGCACATTAACATGGACCCCCAAAACCACTGGTTTGTAGAGGAACATGATCGTCTTCTATGGGTGAATTCTCAGGTTCCATGTTGGTTTGCGGGGGGGTATTGCTCTAGAAATATGGCTGACTGACTTCTGAGTTCCACCACTACACCACAGTTCTGCAGACTGGGAAGTCCTGAGATTCAGCTTTGCAGATCCTCAGATGTTCGTCCAAACCTGTTCTGAGGCAGAGAATGCATGGTGATGATGAAAAGGAAACATTCACCAAGAAAAGCAAACAATTCTGAATGTGAGCATGCTGAGCATGCCCCGTGCCTATCCGGGCCTTTGAAAAAAAATAGAAGGGCAGATCGACAAAGGTATACTTTTGCTGTACTCCAGTATATAGACGTTTATCCTTCTTGACGGGCACTCCCTGTGGATGTTCGACCGACCAGTCATTGATGCTGAGAAATTGAATAGTTTGGTTGTCCTTTATGATATGCTTCGGGGCAATGTTTTAGGCCCTGTGCATTCAATGTGTTGTCGTGGTTTTTTGATCAACTTCTTTGAGTCTCTTCTTTTGGGCTTACCGTCCCCGCGACCAAAAACAAAGTCCACCGGACCACTGCGTTTCTTCTCCCAACCGAGGTGTCCGTGTCGCGGCGCACCATGTGACGTGGCTCTCGGCCATGGGATTTTTCCTCGTCGCGGAGGTGGATCGCGTGCGCCGCTCGGAGAAGGAAAGGCGACCGCTGAAGGCAGTGAAAAGGATCTCGTGCTGCGTGGTCCACACACGTGCCTTTTCATGGGGCGTCCACTTGCGCTACCTCAAGGATTTGAAGGCGAGGATGATGAAGTTGAACCACATTGGTGGTGAGCTCGGTAATTATATACAATTGTTCCATCCTCATCTTTCCCAACCTGGATTGGAACTTTTTGTGTCGCTTCCCAAGCTGTTTCGGGTCTAGCCTTCACATATTTTAGACAGTTCTAGAGGCACTAATATCGTGCCGTCTCAGAACCATGCCCTTTTCAAGGCGGCAGATCAGCGAGAGCCTTCCCAAACCAGGGGACCGACCCCCTTCCCCATCACACCCAAGCGATCTGCTGACCAACCCCGTCATCTCTCCTAGGCAGCATGCAGATTGCCAGCGAGGGCCAACAACTTCGAAGGAAGTATGAGGGCTCCATTAGGCTGGCCGCTTGCTCTCAGCAGACAGATTGGCGGAACATTTGGGAGGAGATCGGCCCAAAGGTCCGGGGACCCCAGCGATCGCCGTGGCGAAGCGGCGAAGCGAGGCTGTCGGAGGTGTATGACCACATGGTCGAGGGAACAGGAATCCAGCTTCAAAACACCCGTTTTCTCATGTGTGTTTTTTTGATTTTGGAACATCAATATGAAGGTGATCAAGCCACGCGTCCAGAGTAGACGATGTCCATGAAGCCCTGACGTGAAGCGCCGTGCAGCCCTTGGGACAGGTCGAAGAAGTGGACAGGGCCATCCATGTCCTCATCTCTGCGGGCGTCTCCTCCCCGGCACTCCGGCGAGCAGCTGCCTTGGGCGTGCCAATCGAAGATGCAGGCGTGCCAATCGTGCCCGGGGAGGAAGATGGAAGGATGTTTTGCTGCCGATGTATTGAGACCCCGTGAAGATTATGGTCACTGAATGCATCAGTGTAAGTAATGGAGTCTGCCGGTTCATGTCTTTCTTCGATCCACTCACGGTGCTTTTCGAGTTTTTGTCAAGCTGAATTGATCCTGAGGCCATGCTGAATTGGCTGTGGCCACTTTGGTGTTGGGGTCGCCGGGCTGCAAATACCATATTCCATGGGGATTCCATTCTGGAGGGAGGGTTCCGCAAAAGCAGACTTGTTCATTGATGGTTCCAGGCCAAGGGGTAATAGGGTTTGCTCGTTGCTGGTATATTGTGGTATATTATGTGTTAGCCACATAGAACAACTGGATTGTACATTGTCCATTCTATCCCACGCTGTAGCTTTTATAGTAGTTATAGTATATCAGAGCCGTGGCCAAAGTTGGCCGTGGTGCTGGAAGGGATATGTTTCAACCACTTTCGGGTTGTGTGTTCCTTTGTCCATGCGGTTGTTTTTTTGGAGGTGGGTGGATAGCCGGATGTGGCGGGGGTGGGGCAGGGCTACCAACCTTGGGTTATTGATAGGTCATCATGTCTTAGAGTCTTAAATGGCCTCTGGGATCAATCACCCAGGCGGGATCCCGAGTGCCTTCACTTGCACCTCTTGCTTTCAGAGAACACCACTTTGCTCGTTCGCCATTGACTTCTGTGGCAGACTACTAGTAATGGCCTCCAACCTAGACTAGTAATCCCGAACATCCCAGGAGTCAGACTGGGAGTCAACGGAGTCGGGTTCCGTCCGTCCAAAACGACGAGTCGGTTCCGTCCAAAACGACGAGTCGGTTCAGGCCCTTACTGTTGATTAGCTCCTTGGACACTGTCCGGGCCTTTCAAGCGGCAACGCATCAACGGGCACCCCTGGAGGAGGAGCACCCACACGGTACGTGGTGTTGTGGTGTTTGATTCATGGTGGTAGAGAATTTGGAATATCAACACTTGTCACATACGCAGCCCTTAGGAAACACAAGCAAAATCAAAGATACTAGACTAGTGATGTTGTAAGCGGTATTCTATAGGCTGTTTCAGCCAACTCAGTCTGACTTAGTAGGATCTAAGTCAAGAATGAGCCATCAGATTTGATGAGCGCCCGTTCTTCTCATTCCTTTGTACCGGTCGTGTTTCGTCCAGGAAATCGGACTTGTGACCCGTTTCACACCCAACAGGTGGGTGACTGACTCAGATCATGGCATCCAGGAGCTGCCGTGGCTTGCATTGGTCTCTGCTGGCATTGGCACCCTGGTGCGGCTCATCTTCATAGGGCTCTTGCTTTGCAGAGCCGCGGACGAGCTGCTCGGGTTCCGAACGAAGCCAGCACACGGGATGAAGCGAAACGAAGCGATAGCGATGCGATAGCGCACTGACCGTCCTTTGGAAGGTCACTTTGGTGCATCCTGGCTTGGTCATCTCTGTCTGACTCTGGCAGACTCATAGTAGTAGGGGTAGTACTATGTTTGTTGGATCAATCTTTTTGAGAGTACACAGGAATGGCGTTGTTGCGAACCTATGACTTGATGTACAAACCGGAAGGTCCGGCCACGATAGGAATTTCGACTCCCAACACTCAACAAAAAGGTCTGAGGCATGGCTGGCATAGCTGCCATACTAGGTGAGAAGACCTTCTGTACCCCAAAAGTTGCAACTTGCAAATGGTTGCTTTATGTTGCTTTTGCATGCTGCCACGGACCAACCAGGCGGAGCTATATGTTGAAGGTCCTCACGAAGCTTGTTTCGCACTTGAGCGTCATGAGCGGCACCAAGCCATCCTCATCGGTTTGTAGATGAGCTGATAGTCTTCTGCACTGTTGATTCAATGGCCTGAAAAGTGTCAAGTTTTGCTTCAATGCCATCAGTACACATGTGGCAATGACTCCAAGGACTTCAAGCCGTACCATCCGAAGCCATTAGTTAAAAGGAAACCAACAAAGAACAGTCCATAAGCAGTTTAATCATCTTCAGTGATTCAAGGGGGTTCGATGTTGATTTCCTTCGCAGGTTGTTAAAGCACCTCAGACTTGAGGCCCCCCCGGGTGTGAGGCAGATACAAGGTGAGGGTCGACTGACTATCATCCATCCTGGCTGCATTCCAACCAGGAAGCTGATGCCCCTGGTCTTCATCCCTTTGGCCGTCCTGGTTGGAATCGCCATGCAGTGCCCTGATGGATGCTGCAAGTTGGGGGTGGGCGCACTTCTGAAAACATGGCAACTGAAAAGGCATATGTGTTTGTTTTTCTTTTTTTTCTGAAAAGAAAACAATCTCAACTCTCTTGATGATCCTGTTTCCACTGGAGTATCGCCCTGTTATCCATTTTTCTTGGTATGCGTTTTGATAGCAAGGCTGTGTATGTCACTCTAGTATGTAAAGTTGATTAAATTTGTAAGTATATTTTATATAATTGTTTCTCGACTGTCGCTGCGGGTTTTAAGACATGTTTCTTTGTCCCAAATCTTGTTTGAACAGTTGAATGATGCAGAACACACTGTTGAACACGAAGAAAACTGAATTGGTAGCTCCATTGAAGCCTCGTTGTCACTGCTTTTTCGCCGACCGCCGTGGAAAATTGCAGCTTCGATGACCGCCCCGCCGTGGATCATGCGAAGCATCGATCCTTTGAGTTGCGAACCATCCATCGATCTCGTACTGTATACATGACCCCTGTTATACTCGATCCCGCTATTTTGTACTAGAAGCTGAGAATCAAAAAAACAATACCATCCATGTTAGTGTAACTTTTTGAATTTGCATTCTCAGGTGCTATGTTAGTCAAGACTTGTAGGAGCAGAAACCCTTCCAAGAGTTCCATGTTAGTGGAACATTGTTGGGAAAGGGCACATTAGCAGTTTCCATGTTAGTGGAAGGTTAAAGACATGTATGATTTAATGTTAACATGGAATCTTATAATCCAAGAATCATACAAGGTACACATTGTAGGTGTTTATTTACATGTTATTTTAAAATTTCATGCCAACAAATATCTATAGTTTATTTAATGTTATGTTTTTTTGTAAGTGTGTATTTTTTCGTGCTGGAAACACACCATCCCAGATTGATTTGGCAAAAAAGCCAAGCATTCTGTGGCACCCTGGGTGACTCTGACTCAGTTTGACACATGTTTTAAAGGCCGAATTGCCCTCCAACCTAACAGCGATGGCCGCCGGCCTCCAACCTAGTAGCGATGGCGCTCCAACCTAATAGCGATGGCTTCGAACCTACCAGCACAGTTTTTGAGCCTTGTGGTGGTCGGATGGGTTGTGGACCTCTTTGCACCCGACTGCTCGGACGACTCGCCATCATGGCAAGGTGGGAAAATTGCTCCTCACAGATGGCTTTGCAGATGGCTTTCACGCGCCGCGGCGGTCAGACTAGCGAGTCCACCCAACAAGTTTGGATCGAAATGATCAAAGCGCATGAAGGCACCACCTCTGATTGCTACGGCTTTCCACCCCACCAGGACACTTTCCTTTCGGATCACGGTCGAATCCACGAATCCTGGACCGGATCCGTGTATCGCTGCTGGGGACACTTCGTTTCATGACTCTTTAATATGCGAAAGCACGCTATGTGGTGTAATTAGAGCAGGATCATCTTGCAGTAGTGCTACAGGCCCTTCAAGGAGTTCTCAAGGTGAAAGTTCCACATATATATATATATATACCAGTTTTTGTTTGATCTTTTTGGCAGGGAAGGGGGACTTGTGGGGTGTCCTCATTAGCCTCACATGAGGTTCAACAACCACCCAACTCCCTTGAACTGGTTGTGTGTTCTGCATCTTGAAAGTAATATGGTTCATGGATCAGATCGGACCAGGCAAAAAACGATGGATGCTATTGGTCCGGTCCATTGGAATTTAGTGGTTTCCGTCAAGTCCCGCCCCTTTAACAGGGCTCTAAACTCTAAACAGGCTGTTGAAGCATGACGCAGACGCGTAAATCAATTGCAATTATATTAACAGGTATCCCTGTTGCACCAAGCCTCCAAATCCCATGGTCGAAATCTCACAGTTCATGGTGCCAGGTATATTGTAGACCATTCTGTTCGTGACGAAGTCGCTCACAAGTGCAGAACAGGCTTTGCCTTAGAGATTGATACACGGGGAAATCTGGATATCGGATATCATGTTAGGTTAGATATAGATATAGATGGATATGGACATAGATTGCAGCTTCATGCAATGTCAATCCCCTTGAACCAATTGCGTTCATGGTTTATCTATTTGGCTTGGTTTCTATACAGTTGCTGCTGTCGTGCTTAGCTCACTTCAGGTCTTCTCACATCATGATGGCCGTTGGCCTCAGCTTCGCCCTGATTGGCATCGAGGGCACGTTGGCACTGCCAGGCATCGAGGGCACTGAAGTATCGTCTCGGGGGCGTCTCGTCTCACTGGTGGTCGTTGGACTGAGCCCTGAATCGTAAACTTGCTATAAACTTGATCATCCAAGCCCTAAGTTCTGTTTGCTTACGCGAGCCTTGGACGCCTGGACTCATAAGAAAAGAGTGAACATTGGCCTCCAGTTGCGACCCCCAGTGAGTTGATCATGGGCGCACCACTGGGGCCTCTCCAATAGGCCACCGGTGGTTTTGGTTCCGTTTCAACGACATCTCAGCCCTGCATTTGCTTTGCATTTGCACCGATTAAACAGGTGGTCGTGTTTAAACTGCTGCTTCCAAATCCTGCAGCCTTTGGGCCAGGATTCGGAATCCCAAACAGCTCCGATGATCAATTCAGCATGTACTGTAGACTCTAGCTCCATTCCCCGGCCTGGTCGTGTTTTGGGGGAACACGGCCCGCGGTTTTGCTGCCACGTGAAATCAGGAGACAGGCGGCTGGACCCAAATTGAAGTGCTTGTCCTTGCAAAAAGCGAACGTGCAAATCCACTGGGTCAACACAAAACATATCTGAATGGAGGTCTAACCGTGGATTTCCATCGTTTCTTTTTTCGTCCTGAGTCCATCCAGGTGGCCAATGCTTGGTGCGGTATTTCCTGGCGCGACAGACCTGCAAGATCTGGGCGACGGAGAATGAGATCCTTGAGAGTGAGGATGAACCTGAGAGATGAAGACGACCGCAGACCGGGTCCAGATGGACCACGAGTGGGAGAAAAAGAGTGGCTCCAAGAGATGCAGAGATCAAAGATCACTTGAGTGGCTCCAAGCTCCGGAAGTCATGATGGACAAAAGCAAAGCACATCAAAGAACTTCAGAATCAGCGCGACTGACAGCCTGCATCAAGAGGGTGGGAACCAAGAACTAACAAGGGGCCTAGGGGGCCGTTGCGTGTTTCAGAGGTCCGGTTGTTTCCCTCAGAGCTGCAGCATCCAGGCAGTGCCCATGGCTTGGCTCCAGCCGAAGAGCGGCGTTATTATACATTCGCGATCATGGTCCATGGCACGTACTGTAGCGGAAAATCATGGTGCTACTACTATGTTGGCTACCCAAAGCCTGTTTGAGGGTGTTGAGCCCTGCATAAAATATTGGACTGCTTCGTTTTCAACTACATGCCACACCAAAGAAGGTTGTTTGGTGAGTTAAGGGCAAATTCAATGTTCATGCGTGGCTGACTCGATTTTTTCTTCAAAACCGAACTTTTAAAACCACAGCAGGTGGCCATCCCCTGATAGGTCTAAAAACCATGTCCGGGCGGAGTCCTTCCATGTCGCGGCGTTTTGAGCGTAGTCGGCAGCGGACTAGCACCTTGGAAGCTATTTGCTTGCACGAATACGTGGCCCCTGAGCGCTGGTGTGTCACAAAAGCAGATCTGAGATACTTGCAGCATGAGGTGAACAATGCCATAAAGGAGCAAAGTGTCGCGAAAACAGTGTTCAAGTTCATTGATCCATGTGTTTTGATGTGTTTTGTGTGTGTGTCAATTCCTTTGCCAAAGGAAAACAACCACAATGTTCTTCTCGATAATTCAAATTTTAGCTCACCATGTACAGCAAGCAGGGGGGCAGTGAGACACTGCCCAACGAAGACGCTGTCAGTTCGTGGTGAAGCAATGTGGGACGCTGCATTGTGCACCTGCACCAATTTTTAAAAATATCTTCAAGGGCTAATGCGTTTTGTTTGAAACCTTGTGTTTGGCTGACCCAGCACTTTTTGCCGTTCTCTCAAGTCAAGCGCTAAGTATTCATTTAAAGGGCTAACGCAGTGGAGTTCAAAACTGATACAGCTCTCGCGAGCCATGATCTAAGTTTGTGTGTGTGATTGTCCATGTTTTTCTCAAAGCCAAGAAATGGAGATGCCGTCAAGGCTAAGACCAGGACCACTTCATCGCGTTCCACAGACTATCATTCCAATCAATCAGTTGTGGTAGAGTAAAGCGGATTCCTCCGTGGGCCGCGGGGAAACCTCAGGGGTTCGTTTTTGCAAGACTGCTTTCATCCGACTGTGCTCAGGAGGGTAAGCTTTCATCGAGTTTCGATAGCGAAGACAGTGATAGCCTGGATGAACCGGTCTTTGGCCCCAGCATCTATGTGGTGAATGAGCAGTACATCAAGCCAGTGACAGCGCAAGCTGGCAAGATGAGTTGGGCCTTGATGCTAAATCCTGACGGTTTGGATTGCCACCTTTTTGTAAGCCACGCTTGGCAGGAAGGCATCTTCGAATTTCTCTCGAAAGTGCTCACTTCGTGGCCGTCCAGAGCGCACAACGCGTGGTGTTGCATGCTGGCGAACCCACAGAATTTGAACATTGGTTCCATGTTGCAGTCGCCCAAGACCTCACCCTTCGCCTTGGCTTTGCAAGCGTCTCGCTATGTCTTGGTGGTGCCCAATCGCCACCAGAGCGTCTACAGTCGCCTTTGGTGCGGCTATGAGGCCTACGTGGCTTCAGAGGATGCAAAGATCATCCAAATTGCTCGCGCCTCCACGCGCCCGTTGATGTTCTGGACCTTGACTCGCGCCACCGCCTTGCTGGCGCTGGGTTTCCTCATAGGCGCGGGTTTGTTTCTGGCATGTTTCTTCGGGTCTGCGAAACACCCGTGCAGGGCGGAGAGCTTAGGGTCTGCGCTCCCGGCTTGGATGAACACAAGACAGGTCGGATACTTCTAAGTTTTCAGTTTTCATCATTTTTTACAAGTGTGTTCTTTTTTGACGGTCCTTCAAATGTCATTGCTTCTTTTGGACGACGACTTCCATGGCGGACGGGTTTCATGGAGTGAACAGGCTTCGTGACGCGTGGGATAAAGGTCTTAAGAAAATATGCCGTGTGCATTGAACTGTAAATGATCATTCTGTGTTAGCCTTGCAAGTAAGTAGCGTAATTACTTGACATTTCCATGCATTTGCTGGAACACAATGGCTGAGTTCTTACCAAGTTTTTTACATGCCATGCCATGCCCTGTTGTATACATGCTGCAGGCATGAATGTCCCAGTCCAAGCAAAGCACACCCACGCGGAAGCGGCTGGTGCCGTAACCATTGTGGCAGCTGCAGCGGCTTTGTTCAGCGTATGTGCACGCAGTCGAGGGCGACTAATTGCCAATTGTGCCCTTTGACCTTCAGTTGTGTGTGTGTGTGTGTCAATGTATAGATATTCTGTTAATTACATGGACCGCTAACCCTTTTCGATATACAGTAGCTTTATGTAGCTTTCGTCTTCCAGGGGATCTGTCTTTGACCCTCAGCTTTGTTCCAGTGAATCGATTGAAAAGAATCTGAGTCTCACCATAACCCATCCGAGGGAATCTACTCCTGGTTGGGCACTTTTGGATGCTGAAGTCTTGTTCCGCTGTTCCTTCTGCTTCTGACAAGGTTGGCCTCGTGGCATCCGCTGTCTTGGAGGGTTGGGGAAATCCCTTTGGAATGACTTTCAGATGCTCAGAGCGAAGACGGCAGGTTTTGACGAGTCTCAGGTCGAAGTTCCAATCATTCCTTCAAACCGACATGTTTGGTTACTCCCATATTTGGGGATCTCTTAAAAGCGAATCAGTTTCCTTGACCGGAGAAACATGACACCGGACAGCGCTATTTTCTAGGTCATAGACTAGACTCATAGACTATAGATGTACAACGATATACAGTATACATATTCATGATTCATGATCGTATGGTCATGCTTGACTTATAGATATTGTTTTGAAGTATTTTCGGGTCTCCAGTGTTTTGTCGTTCATTCCAACTCTCAGAATACGTGTCCGGCTTCGTGGAACATATGATGCACCGCGCCTGCTGGGGAGCCGTTGTGTGCTTCTTCTTTTTTGCAGAGGTGGACCGGATACACAGTCTCCTGGATTTCAAGTCTATTAGTCGATCTATTCGGATGGATTTTGTTTGCCTGATTGATCATGCGAGCTTGGAGGTGTCCTGGACCTTACGGAAACCTAAGGGGATCAATAGAGATTCCCACCTGATCAGAGCGGTTTCAGGGCTCAACCATGCTGCATGAGCCAATGATATTGAACAGGGGCTCAGCAAGTTTCGCTGGCTGCTTAGTGCACAGAAGATGCGTTGCTCATATCGGGTCGGCAGCGTGCGGAACTGGGCCGGCGGTGTGTGAGATGTTCTCATTGCTTGACGGTCCACCAATAGGTTTTTATGGCAAGAAATCATATTTGGAGCACACTTTGAGCGCCCAGATTGTGATGCCCACATTGATGCAGGTCAGTGATATTATAGAGATGTGGCAGGCTGTGGCAGCAAGTGTACCATCGATATGATTTTATATTGCTAATGTGTGGTACTTTTGGATGGCAAAATTCATTGCTGAAAACAACTCTGTACACTCGAGGAGAAAAGCCCAACTGCTAAAGGATTCCACATGCCAACTCCAACAGAGGTTAAGTGTCCGCTCTGCTCTCAGGCCTTCAGATCCGCGAGGAAGCGCAGCAGCTTCGGAGACTCCGAGACGGTTTCGAAACCACTTGGGACTTGGGACATGAAGGGAACATTCAGGGGGAGACCGTCCCCCAAAAAGAATTCGGTTGACTGATAGACCTGGAGACCTGATAGACCTGGAGTTGACTACATAACATTAACATCAAGGATTTTCGGTTGACTGATGGACCTGGAGTTTTGAGTTGAGACTTTTTTTGTTAGACCCAACAAGCAAAGAGATATTGGACAGCCTCAATTGCAATCAATCATCATCAACTACCGTGAGCATAGAGAGGGAACCGTTCTGCGGCCATTCATCAATGTCAGGAAAGGCTGTAAAGGCTCCATTCGTTTCGCGTCTTGCTCCGACCTCACAGATATGCAGAACATTTGGGATGAAATTGGAGACAAGGTCAGGAGATCAAAGAAAGGACACAGGATGACAACGATAGTTTCCAACAACTAGAGGACTCAACACTTTGCTAGTTTTGCTTGTATTCATGCAAGAGTATAGGCCCTTACTTTTGGCCTTAAGTCCTTTGGTTACAGCAGCTGAAAAGAGTGTCAACGGGACGGACCGGACGAGGACGTCCGGATCCTGCAGGTTCCTGAAGTCGATCATGCCATCTTCGTGCTCATTTCAGCGGGGATCTCGTCTCCCTCGCTTCGGATGGCCGCAGATCAGGGAGTGAAGATTGAAGGAGCTGGGCATGCTGAAATGGCAGTTCCTTGGAGATTTGGAGCAAAGGGATATGACATATAGGTGTGGAACATGTGTGGAAACAGGTGATTTTGTTGAAGCTTTTCTTTGACATCTTAATCTACACATCACCAACTGCCCTCTTCGTGCTTTTCATTTTTCATACCATAGGGGATCTATGCAATGTTTATGCAGGAGTCCTCGCATGCTTTTGTGTCAGGATGCCCCCTTTCACAAAAAACACGTCCCGTGACTCACTCATACAACAGGGGACGGGGCAGGTATATAATCAGATTTGCCTGCCTTAGTGACCTTAGTGTGCTGCAGCAAGCTGAGTGGTATCAGTGTGCTTAGAGGGAACATCATTCAGAAGGCAATTTGGTTTGAGACAAAGAATAGTTTGTTGCACCGTTTTCCTATTATTATGCACCGTGCCGGCCCGAAGAGCATGCTTGTTTGATTTGCGAGCGTGTAGATGGTTGACGGGCAACTCCAAGAACTCTAGGCCAATGGTGTCAAGGCTCATTGAGCGAAACTGAGGTGACCATCGTGGTTTTGGGCCCTTTGCTCTTTATGAGTGTCTTTGCTCTCCAAGTTTGAAAGTTGTTTCCATTCAGGAAGATAGTGCCCAACGGGGCCATTTTGGGGAAGGCCAAGGATACCCACTCGCGGTGTAAGGGGTCTTTCGGTAGTTGTAAGCATATGTTTTCTCAATCTGCAGGCTGATTGGTCCTGTGGTGTTCCCCTCATTCATTCGTGATTACATTTGTTCCTTTGAACAACCAGGCATCGCTGAGATGGTCGGCCTATGCTACAACCTCCTTCATCGTGGGTTGATTAAGTGGGAGATTGTGCTTTTGGTTTCTACAGTGGTGGGATTTGTGGTTCGAATCTCCTTCGTCATCCTCTTCTGCGTGGTCCCTGTAGACGAACGCATGTTCTTGCTGAAGGTCATTACAAAGCTGGCTACTCGGCTTGTTGAGTGTGGACCGCCCGCGTCACGTGGGCCACGTCCCACGTGGACGGCGTCGGACGCCAGCCGAGGGCGGCTCCTGGTCGAAGCGAAAACGGGAAGCAGCCGTTGCGTACGTTGTGTGAGACAGGAGAAAGTGGGCAAGCAAGCTTGCGGCAAGCATGCCATGCAAATCACCACGAGGCTTTGGGGGGGGGCTACAGTGATACATTCACCTTGCAGCACGTGCTCAGGTGGCCCTTCTTTGCCTACCACTTGCATTACTCTTTGGCATAGCCGCCCAGTATGATGCCAGCGAAAGCATTCATGCGCTGGGCATTATCTCCATGTGCCTTCGGCATCCGCCGTCGGGCCTAAGTTCTGGTCGATCGGGCCTGGTCACCTCTTTGGGGAAACCGGGGGTTCGTTCGGTCTCACCTTCGGTCGGTCGTCTGAATGGTTTGGTGATCGAAGTATACTTGGAGTGGAACACCAACCTGGAGGCTGATGGTAAGAACCCAACCTCTATCAACTGTGCAAAGGCTAAGGTACAGCTTCCGAACCACCTGATCAGCTAAAACAAAACAGCTTTCCAAAGATTTCCCACCTGATCCTTCCAAAGATGTCTATTATTACAGAAGAAACATCCCCTTGGGAATAAGACACTATAAAATGCTGTTCACATGGGATTGACCCCCAATTCCGCAGGGGGATGAAGAAACACATCTTCTTGATTTTTGACATGAAACTTTCCTTCGACCCCCAAGTCGCCCTCGAACACCGCTCGAACCGTCCGTCACGGGGAGAAGGACATCCGTTGACGCCGACAGAGGTGCTCGGCACCCGACAGATGAGGTGCTCCCATGTGACCTCGTTGCTGGGTTTCTGCTTCAGCATGCTTGGCATCCAAGGCACCTTGAAGCTTCCAGGTGTGGCATGTTCGTTGAACATTGCGTTTGTTTTTCTGAAGGGCTCCAGAACACGGCGACGGGGTTTGGAGCAGTTTGGTATCATGTGACACCCCTCATTCATGTTTTTCCTGGTCCGATATTTTGCAGTTTTTGATAGCTTGTCCTTGGCTAAGAAGAAACATGAATAAACACAAGTTGCGACAACCGCCACATTTTGGCATCAACCGGGCCATCCATGAAACCTCCGAAGCGGGTAGAATCCACAGACATGGTAAACACCACGATCACGGTCCATGAGCAAAAAGCTAATGGCTCGAGCGCCTCAGGATGCGGGTGCCAGCTGTTTTTGTACTCTTTTTTGCTTCTCGTGGGTCGTGCGGGGAGTGGTAGGTGGGCCTGGCGTGTGAAAAACAGCACGATTTGGGTGATTTTGACTGTCAGTTTTGGGGTTGTTGACCGGCCTCCAAAAATGAAGGACTTGGAAAGGCGTTCACCATCGTTCACCCAAAAGCACTGTACATCCACTTTTAATAATATGTGTTTGCTTATGTTATGTACTAATTTCATGTAATTATTGCTGCAGGCCTATAAGATGACCACGAAAGGGGCGGTCTGACTTTGTGAGATTTAAGAACCAAGAACCAAAAATGTTCGCAACAACAACCATGGGTAGCTCGTCCCCAATTCGCTGTGTGCAACGCCACTGCCCCACCATGGAACAGGTGGTCGATGCCTGCTGCAGTTCATCTTGGCAAGGCAAGGTGCCTTCAGATATGATGAACTGCCACCTGGATGATGGAGTTCGGTTTCTCTTTTTTTCACGTTTGGCTTACCAGGAAACTTGTCTTGTCCAAAGTGATCATGTGCTTTCCGCGCTTTCAAGGCAAAGCGAGGATTCCTTTTCGAGTGACGAGTGAGGAACGAGTGTTCGGAACGACGCAGTGCGTTCCCCCCCCCGTCCGGCGGTGCGAAAAAAGTCTTCAGCGACCTGACATTTGCCAGCGGTTCGGGAGGATGAGATGATGGAGATGCTGCAAAGCGGTAGAATGAGCATCAATGTAGAGCGGCGAGTAGAGGTCTTTTGTGCATTGATGCAGGTGTGCAATTCCAAGTGGTCACCTTCCATATTGGTACCCCACCTCATATCCTGGAAAGTCTTCATGTCGCATGTTGAACTTCCACTGCTGGAACCTGACGCTGATCATTTCTGCAACATTGCAACATGGTTCACTGCTCAAGAACAAGTCATCAGAGTGATGCAAGCGACAGACTCGTTCTATCTCGTTCTATTGTGCAAATTTGGACAAGCCATGACAAGCCAGCATCTTATATGGCTGTGGGTCAACACCCGGAGCCCGTTTTACCCTGGTGGGTTGACCTCATCAGCAGTCATTTCTGTGGTCAACCAGGGTCCGAAATGTCTTCAGAAGATACTGGCCACAGGGCGCTCCGTTTTCTGTTGTGGCCAGGCTTTTCAGGTGCGGTGCTTGCATTTACAAGGATTCTTAGCTCACCGTGGTCATCCATCCGGGTGGCACCCAAAAAAGCTGATGTTGGAACTGTTGCTTTGCCTGATCTTAATACAAATACCTATAACCTCTTCTTGGGCAGAAATTTCTGCCTATTGTGGGTAGAGGCGACTTTGCCCGTGCTTAGGCGTTCTTGTCCCCTGTAGGCGTTCTTGCCCCCTCTGGGCGTTATTGTCCTTTTGGTGGCATTGCTCAAATACATGAGGATCCACCCACCACTGATTCCAGGAACTTTCATAGCGAGGTACACTTGTTTGTCAGGAATTAACTTAATGTTTCTCTTGTGATATTTTTTGTATGTTTTTAGTTTTTCTATGCTTTGATTCATTGCTTTAATATATTTTTGCGTAGGTGTTTGTCCCGTCACTTAGGCGTTCTTACCCGTTACTTGGGCGTTCTTGCCCGTTACTTAGGCGTTCTTGCCCGTTCCCCCCTAACTACAATCGGTAGTTGGGTGGACAACGGAATGGTAGCCTTTTGGGGGGAGTGAGCGACATGAGTTTCAACAACTTTAGACTGGGGATTAGCGTCAAGTGGCAGGCGTTTGTTTTCTCAATTTTTGTCATTCAAATTCTGGCTTTGCCTCCTGCATGTAAGAATGCATGTGATTGTACCTCGGCGTTTTTGACAATCGAGGCTGCAGCTTGGGCGTTCTTTGCAAAAACGGGCTGAATTTTCTGCTTAAATGGCGTTGGGCGGAAATTATTGCCTAACGAGGTTCTAGGTATGGTCATTCAATCATAAAACCCGAAGCTGCCCCGATTGATGAACTCCCGCCTCAGTCTTTGCAGATGTGGGTTGCTCCCAGTCGTGGGTTGCCCGTTGTTTCAGCTTGAGGGCCACATCGCGCCACACCATGTGGTTTCGGAGCAATGGTGATGTCCAGCCAAGTACCTCACGTGCCGGCTCAGTCCTCTCTGCCCTCTCCTGGGGCACGTCTGGGAGAACGACTACAACGAGCCACCTCCCTTCGCGTACCGGACGGCGAACGACGACCCTGGAGGCAATGAGTATGCATGAATGTGTGACGCCTGAACCTCGGTTTTTGGAAGGGTGCGTGATACACTGTTTGTTTGCAACATCAGTTATAGGATAGATGTAAGATGACAAGTAGCATCAAATATCCAAAGTTGATACAAAAAAAACCTGAAACTGTTTCAACGGCTTGTATCCAAGTTTCTGGGCAGACTCGTTCATCAAGTAAGGATCGATGGTGTGTGAACCGGGCAGATCTGAAGTATCTCAGGTCTCAAGTCTTTCATGCGATTCAGGAGCCTTTCCTTGCTTTGATCTCTTGGGGGCGTTTTGGTGTTCCTTCTATTTGGGTGTGCAGGAAGAATAGGGAGGGAGCCCCCAACCTTTTGGATGTATACAGTTGCAGTAGTTCAATTGTTCTTTCAAAGGGGTTTGGGCATTTTTCGACTTTAAGAGGCACTGTTTGCTGGCTCCGTTCGCTCATGTTGTCTTTTGCAGTTGGCTGTGATGTGTGGACTACTGACTACTCATCTTGCCAACAATAAGTTGTGTTTGTTTGCCATTTTGGACAGCAGTGGCTCTGAAAGGGTTTCCTCCAGCAACTGGTTTATGCATGCTTCACTTGACTTGGCATGTGTACATTGCCAATAGCAGGGTGGACCTGTTCCACAACCCGCCGCTTCAGGAGGGTCAAATCATTTCTTCTGGAAGCAGCGACAGTGAGGACAGTGACGAAAGCCCCTATGAAGACAAGTTTGGGCCGAGCATCTATGTGGTCAATGAGATGTATATTAAGCCAGTGACAGCGCAAGCTGGTAAGATGAGTTGGGCCTTGATGCGCAATCCAGAGGGCTTGGATTGTGATGTTTTTGTGAGCCACGCTTGGCAGGAAGGCATCTTCGAATTTCTCTCGAAAGTGCTCACTTCGTGGCCGTCCAGAGCGCACAACGCGTGGTGTTGCATGCTGGCGAACCCACAGAATTTGAACATTGGTTCCATGTTGCAGTCGCCCAAGACCTCACCCTTCGCCTTGGCTCTACAAGCGTCTCGCTATGTCTTGGTGGTGCCCAATCGTCACCAGAGCGTCTACTGTCGCCTTTGGTGCGGCTATGAGGCCTACGTCGCCTCGGAGAATGAGAAGATCATCCAAATTGCCACAGCACCCAGTTGGGGCTTGCTCCTTAGTAGCGTCCCGTCCTCGCTCCGTTCGAGTCGCGATGGCCAGGAGCCCCGTTCGTAGCGTCCTTGCTCGCTCCTAAGGCCCCATGGTTTGGACCTTGATGAGTTCCATGATGCCCATTCTCCTGGGCCTGACGATAGGCCAGGCTCCATTGAGCCGAGAGCCGAGAGGCTTAGCCTCTTCACATCGGGGAGTTCGATGTTCAACAGTCGAATGTCGCTTCACAGTTTGAACTTGTGTCGACTTGGTTTAGTTTGAACCATGAAGGGCTGTCAAACCACTTCTTTGGCAGCCGTTGCTTGTTTCATCTTGTTTCTGAAGTCATCGCGTCTACAGGTACCTGATGCGCTAGACTAACTAGATACAGAGCTGGGAGATGCTGGGAGTTGTGCACATCGTATTATTAATCAGCTGGGAGTTGTGCACCTGGTATTCTTTATCATTGGTTTTATTAGGTTTCCTGGTGGTTTTCAGCAGCCCAGCAGCTTTGACGGGCCAAGTTGACTGGCGTTCTAGTCATCGCCCGCAGGTACAATTGCACCATCTCAAGCGTGGCATCTCAAGCTGGAAGCAGCTGTCGTGGCCGGAATTGCAGCTATGATAAGTACCTGTACCAGATCCAATTGGCGGCTGATAGCCAACTATGATCTTTGACCTGGCATAGTCCGCTTTTCTCCTGGTAGAAGATCATCAGGGGGTTGTTGCTTTGGGTTCCATTGGTTTCCGATTATGACTATGACAGAGATAATTTGTTGTCACAGTTATTTTGTCCAAACCTTGATAATCCTTGATTCATTCCTTGATACTATAGATCAATTCTCCGAGTGTGCTGTTTACACAATTCATTGCTAGCGTCGACCATTTTGTTGCTTAACTGGAAGTGCTTTAGAAGAACTGCAGCCAGGTAGGTCTTGTGGCTTTTGCTTCATTGGAAAGTCTGGGTAACCCCTTCCGGGTACACTTCCAGAACATCCCTGACACCATGGAAACCTTCGTACATCACTTATACTGGGCCTCCGCCCTGAGTTTTTTCGTGGTCGCGGAGTGCGACCGCGTGCGGAGCAATCAAATCGAAGACGAAGGCCGACAGCTCCGAAAGAGTCTTGGTCCGGAGTGGGATGGGGGCCAATTTTGGAAAACGGTTGTCCGGGGTGTGGCGGTTGTGAGTTGCACGGGGTCTATGGATCTCCTCTAATGCACACCCAAATGCCCCTACCTCAGAGGGATTGGGAGCTGCTGCGCCCAGTTAGAGCACCCACGAGCCTGGTTACAGCGCCCTTGGGCAATATATGTTCGTCCTCTCTTTTTCCCTTCGTATTCTTTAGGAGATTGTACCGTCGGTCAACTTATTATTCATTCATCATACCGGTGGATCTGCGGCTTTTTGGGAGGTCAGACATGTTGCCCACAGGAATCCTAGATGAGGGTAGTCCTTTGGAGGTGTTTTTGAGCAACTAGGAATTAGTAGTCCTTCCTTCTAGGATAAGGGGTGTGATGGAATGTGATGGATATATATATATATATATACCTAGAAGATCCTTTGGGCAGAAAGTCTTGCCTTTTTTGGGAAGAGCGGCTCTTCCCGTCCTGGGGCGGAAATCAGCTGCCGCGGAAATGTTTTTGTTGCCGCGAATATTCCCTTTCAGGAATCCAGTGAGACAAAGACTATACATAAATTCTAGAGGACTTGAATATTTTTGTGTCTTACATTGGGCATTTCTGACTGGAACGGTCACCGCAATGAGAAAAACAATGAGCAGCGCTTAAGTTTCCACCTCCACCTGCAAATCGGGCTACCATCATATCATATATGTGTCTTTGTTTTTGAAGGTTTCTTGTGCAGAATGAGCACAAAAGGACTAAAATCAGTCCAAAGTTGAAAACACCTGGCACGAAAATGTCCGGGAAAAAGGCAGAAATACCCGGGAAAAAGGCGGAATACCCGGGAAAACGGCGGAAATACCCGGGAAACCGGCGGAATTTCCTGGTAGAAGGCGGGATTCAAGAACAGTGCCTTTGATGCCTTCGAAGGGCTTGAACATATGTCGCAGCCTCTTTGTCAATGTCATGAATTTAGAAGTGTCAAAATGGTAGGGTGTCTGATCTTGAGATGTGAAGCTATGTCCTTGCAGAACGATATGTGGTCTGTCTGCAATCATGGAAGAGACAACCTGGTTGGTCTTAGGCAGTGGTTTTCCAATTGCTATGTTGGATTTTGCTTGAGGCAAAAATTCCCTGCTGCCCGCGCGGAAATTCCTACCTGGCGTGGATTTCCCCTAAATCCGCGAATCCTCCCGGGCAAATCGGACTGAGGCAGAAATTTCTGCCCCAGGTGCTTCGAGGTATATATATGTGTGTGTGTGACATGCATGATGTAGGTTAATACTAGGACTCTAGGCCGTTGTAAGGGGCTTGTGGCTGTCTATAGGACATCTTCGATCCTGAAGCGAAGCACCGGGTGAAGGGGGGCAAAAAGCTATACCAGGACCCTCCTGTCGGGGTGTCTACTTATAGCCTCCCCAAAAAAGCTGTGATTCGGGGTGTCCATGAACCACCCCGACTGGGGGTCCTGGTAGAATTACTCTGGTTGAGATTGTGGGGTTGATCAAAGTCATTCCAGCAAAACACACATCCTGAAAAAGAACCATTTTCCGCTAAAGCACAACTGACTGCGACATTGACTTCCAATACATTTGACCTTAATTCAGCCGTGCTGCGTGTTTCTTCAAGTCCGGTGGTCGTTTTTGTCTATCGCTTGCGCTGGTGAAGGAAGTACAAGGGCTCCATACAGTTTGCCTCGTGTTCCGAGCCCAATGACTTGCGGAACATTTGGGATGAACTTGGTGACCAGGCTGGGCATCTTCCTCGGGGCTGGGCGCAGGCGGAGACCCAAGCTGAAGTGAGGTACATGCAGTGCAGTTCTTGTGTCCTTCCACTCAGTGGACAGCTAGTTTTTTGTTGGGGGGTGGTTGAACATGGTTGAACCCTCTACTTCATCTGTGACTCAAATCGGCAAAAGATTTCGTTGAAGCAGACGAATCTGCAGGTTCATGAGGTGGACAATGCCATCAATGTGCTCATCTCTGCTGGTGTCTCCTCCCCATCACTGCGAAGAGCTGCGGAGCTGGGAGTGAAGATTGAAGGTGCTGGACATGCCGAAGTGGCCGTGCCGAAGCGGCAGCGGAAAGCAGTTCTGCTCGTCCCCGTAGCGTCCGAGATCGCTCCGTTCGAGTCGCGATGGCCAGGAGCCCCGTTCGTAGCGTCCTTGCTGGGACCGCGGATGTTGTGTTTTTCAGTTCTCCGGATGAAGAGATGCCCTGGACTTGACGTGAGTTTGAATGGTACTCCGAGACGTGACGAAAACAAACAGACGACGCGTCACATAGAAGTAGACCCCCCCTGTTTGATTGAGGAAATGTAGTCTTCCAACGGACCACGCCCCCTTCGCTTCCATGTGATGTGTTCGTCAAAATCGGTCAGGTTTTCCCAGTCGATCCAGTTGCTACATGTTGCTACTGCAGCTGGTAACCAGTGGTTCCAACGACAAACACCATAGATGCAGAGACCCGGGCCCCTTACATATATAATCCACTGGGCTTGTTATATGGAGTATAACCGTGCCGGATCACAGAGGCAGATCTTTTGCTTCAACCTGTTTTACGACAGAACGAATCACCCAAGCACTTGCTTGCTGAAGCACAAAACGGCCACGTTTGGTATTTCTAGGAGGCAATGAGTCAGTTGACCATTGAACATGGACTAGATTACGGAGGTCGAGCTCCAGGTTTTGACCCACCCTGAAAGAGCTTCATCATTTCAATTGACGACCTGGCTCAGACGCCACGCCACGACCTGCCTCGGAGAATATTTTGAAGATTGGTCGGTCGTGGTCAGATGAGGAGTGAGTGATAGTGTGTGTTTTTAGGACACAACCAAACCAGGTGTTTTCGGCTGTGGTTGTGGTTGTGGTTGCGGTTGCGGTTGGGGTGGTGGTGGTGGTGGTGGTGGTGGTGGTGGTGGTGGTGGTGGTGGTGGTGGTGGTGGTGGTGGTGGTGGTGGTGGTGGTGGT